AATAAGCATTTCCTTTACCTTTGAAGTGAATGTTGACTTAAAGACGGAGGTCTCGTAAACCCATTCTGTGCATTTCTCTTTGGTAAAGTTTGCCGAATTTGAATTTCCCGCGTCATTTCTAACATACATATAGCATTGGCTGTAGTCCAAAGTCTCGTCATCAGATTTCGGAATGGTCAGATTTATGAGATCTTGGTGATAGGAGCTCTGTATCTCATATGTGTCGTTAGGGTATGACAAAATTTTACACCTGAAACAGGGAAAGAAATCTTAATTATGTGTTTTCTTCTATTAAATCTTAGTAATGTGTTTCCTTATATCAAATCTGGTTATCTACATTACTGGTAAGAAAGAATGAAGTCTTTTTTGTTGCCTTGAAAACATGGCTTCCAACATCATGTCTGAATGTCCAAATCTCGATTTTTCTCAAAATCTATTTTGATCAATGAAAAATAATTTTTTTAATAACGATTTAGTGTAAGTTAATAAATAACAGAGGAGATAATGCTGCATTTAAAAAGACGGGTTTTAGGAATATTCATACAGGAAATAAATATTGACATGTGGGTTTTTTGACCCCCTTATAAAGAAATATAGGGTAAAAAAACCCACCTGACAATATAAGCAACACGTGGGTTAAAGAAACCCACAATAGTTTCTATGGGTAAATTTTCCCTATGAGGAAAATTTTAAACCCAATATGGTTTTTTTTTTGGGGGGGGGGGGGGGTTGGGGGTTATGGGAGAATTCTAAGTAAATGTTTACCCAAGGGACTTTTATGTTTGCGTCTAATTATCCCAAGAACTAACAAAAAATGTATTTTTTATTTCAAAGTTGAACTAAGACCCCCCCCCCCCCACACACACACACAATTTAATAAAAGCTTAAGTTGATAGCTTTATAAGTGCGTAAGTTCAGAAAAATGTCCATTCCGAAGTTGTCCGTCCCACTGTTTATTGTCGAAATTACTTGTGAATAAATATGTTTGGACAACCTGGCATTCAAGACAATCCGGAAGTGCTTACTAATTTCTGTTTTGTCGTTTGATCTTGTCTATTTCCCGTTTTTATATCTTTTTTTCCGCTTTTGTTTGTTCGTTTTTTATTTGTTGCTTATGTATTCTAAATTATTTTGCACTGGGTTTTTTTATTGCTCCTTTTTTTAATAAAAAATATAATTGCTATGTCATCGTTTAAAATAAAAGGGGTCTCTGTATAAAATCTATTTCAAGTTTCCTTAATTTATATATATACGATAACATCAACATAAAGTAAAAAAAAAAAAAAGAATACGCTTTCTTTTTTTTAAGAACATTATGATTTTGTTAATAATTACGAATCTCAAAGTTCTTCTTTTGGCTTTTAATGTTAAGGTTTTGGAGACAAGAATCCAGTTTTTCTTCTTTATCAAGTTTAACTGTCAATAGATAAATTTAAGTTGGAAATATAGGTCGAATTCTTTTATGAGGTCAATTTTACAAAGAAGACAGGTCGACCTCAATATTTAGGTGTACTTAAAATTGACAACGTTGTTCATTGCTTAGTAAATAAAAAAATCCAGAACATCGATCCTTAAAACCTGCCGAAAATTAACATATTCTATGTTTATAGCTGCGTATGTGTAAAAAATCACATGTAAACGCAAATCTAATAGAGTCCTTAGTTATTTATTTTGAGGTCGACAAAATGCTTTTTATCTTGCTAACTGCTTTATTTACTTATGGAAATATGATTCTTTCTTTAATTCGTGCCTTTCTAGAACACATCATCTAGAATACATCAAAAAATATTTGATTTAGAACATTGTATATAAATCATGCTATTTTTTTTATTCGACTAGGTTTGTTTTTTATTATTTTTGTGTTTTTATTTCTGCACGACTTGATTAGAAAACTCTAATACTTTTGAATAAAGAAATGATATAAACTTTTCATCAAAGGAAAAGTTTTTAGAATTTCTTGAAAATTTGTTACAGAAAATTTTTATAAATTCCTTTGAAATTATCGAAGAGTGAGGAACGTTTTCTTGAATTCGCATTGCCTAGTGAAAAATCTTTTTTTTCATTGACAAATCATTGAATGCCGGGAAAATGCACAAGAAAAAATTCAGTTTTAATTATGCAGTTCAATATCATTCAATTTTTTATGTTACTTATTATTGAATTTTCTTTCTTTCGCAAAAATCTCAATGTTAAGTTCAATTTAGTCTTGTCACTTTCTTTCATTCAAAGGCTCTCTTACTCGAAAGTTCGGTTACATCGTAGAAACTGTATATTTTTCTTGTTAATTAAAAGAATATACTCCTAAATTAATCTTAATTACATTTAAAATGCTTAAAGAATTGTTTTCTACCTAAATCTAATTGTTACCACCCATATGCAACTATTTTTTCCTGCTTTTTAAAACTCTACAAGAACAACAAAGGATATGAACTTTTTTTGTTCGATCGTTTTCTTTTCTCCTTTTTTTTTATTTTCTTTTTTTTTTTTTTTAATTTTTTTCAATAATTGTTTTTTAAAAAAGACGATTGAGGAGGAACTTACATTTCATATTTTTACTCCTTTTTTATTGTTTACATGTGTATATTATGAATTAAAAACTTCCCAACAATTTCAGCAAAAGACAGAGAGAGAGATAAATAGAGAGAAATAAATTTTTGGGGAAAAAAGTCTGAGTGAAGCTTATAACTAAACAAAAGAGAGAGAGAGAGAGAGCATGTGTTACCTGTGTTTGGGGGATTCCATAATAAGTACCAGCCCCATCATGAAGCAGGCGACGCTGATGGCGGGAAGACATAGCAGCAGATACAGTCTCTTCTGGTACCTCCCAAATTCCCCCAGGTGATATAAAATATCGTCAAACTTCATAGTCCCTTCTCTCTGTCCCCCCGAGGTCGCTGTTTGTGGGGACCGCGCTATCAGCAGGTCCCTCTTGAGGATTACATGGTCAGATAATTTTTAAACAAACATTGGACTTTTTGTTTAAACACCGCTATCTTCATTCGTGAATTCATCTTAAGTGCGCATTTTAGGTAGTGTCAGTAACCGGGGATTTTCATTCAACATCTAGAAAAATGGACAAATTAGGGTTGATTAGAATTCTTACTAAGAATGAAAAATCGGTATACATGTGACTCCAAGTGTTAAAATCAAAATTGCATTTTTAAGTATGTTTAAGATGTCATTTATGTACCTGATGAGCTACTTTTAGTTTCTTTTAAACATTTTAAACTTCTCCTTTGAAAGTTCATCTTTTTCTTTGTATTAGGTATCTGAAATGTAAAGGGGGATATAAACTTTTAAATTTCATAATCCTTGCCTCCCTGGGGCAGCGGGATTTTTGCTTAAACCATCACAATTAATTGTTTGTATAATAATGGTAAAAACAAAAACAAAATTGTGAAGAGCATTTCCCCTGGATTAGGGTTTCCGTCTCTAGGGTCTGGATGGCGATACGTTGATCGTATATAAAAAAAAATCCATTTAATTGATAAAATTACCTGTTCATTTATGGAATCTAGCATGAGAACTGCTTGCATTGGAATAATAATCCCGAATAGTTAAATTCTATGGGCCCTTAGTCAATTGTTTTGGCCCAATAGTGGGACTTATTCGATCATGTATTAAAAAAATTAAATATCATGATCTTTGAAAAATTTCTTATCTACGTGTACTTTAAAGACACGCCTTAGAGACATCGATAAACCTGGAAAATTATTGTGTTCAGCTGTAATTCGTATAGCCTTTAGGTTCAGGGTTCATACTACATGGTGGGGCTAAGTTATACATTGCAAAATTAATATATTACACCAATGATTCTTCGTTTGATTCTTTGTTCATGGATATACGTATATGTTGCAGTAGGCAACCTTTTAGCTTAATTAAGTAAAATGAGTATTTAACCTTCACTGTGGCATTCATGGCTGCTGGATCGTTAATTCAGAGCTGAAGTTACATGCGCGGATCTAGAGGGGGGGGGGGTTCGGGGGGTCAGGACGCCCACCCTCACCCCCACCCCCGAATTTGCAGAGCTATTAAATGTATTTACTGAAGCAGGTAAAAAAAAATGACTTTGGACCCCCTAGAAAACATAGACCCCCCCTTTTTTTTTTTTTTTTTTTTGCATTTGTCCTGGGTAGGAATTTTGTTTTGACTGGTATGGACCCCCCCCCCCCCCCCGGAAAAAGTTCCTGGATCCGCGCCTGAGATAGACATAGGTGGTACAGCATTGGAAGTTTAAAATATTTAATGAATTTCACGTTGACATACCGTTTGCATGATTACAATGTACGCTTAGTATTGCCTTAAATGCTCATACATTCATCATCTTTATAAAAATTAATTTGCATATACCTATAGAAAAGCGGCAGAAATATTCAATCATAAAAAACTATAACCACATAATTCTTATTTTAGTAATCATCTTCGAGAGAATTTCCTTGTTAAAATCTTCCATTTTTAAAAATGCCCTTTATTATCATTTTATTATTCGCCCTACGCAAATACAAAACCTGATTTATTAACCTCTTGTGACCAGGAAGTCTAAATAAAAGCAATATTTTAGTATCGAATTTTTATTGCTGCGCTTATTTTGAAACGGAATGTCAGGAAAGGAACTTCTGCATATAGCCTAGGATCAGTTTCGATTTTCAAGAAAAAAAATTATTAAAATCATATCGATAGTTGTATATCTGGTAAGTGAATTATTATAATTACATACATATAATAAAAAAATGTATTCAAAAAGGGTGTTACAATAAACATAGTAACAAATAATTACCATTGATATTTTTCTTTCCTGATGAAAAGTTTATCTTAAAATCATTATATTCAAAGAGGTCTACATTTATCAATTTTTACGATTGATTTTTTTCGGTCATTTTCAGATTTATTCCTAAAGCCAGGGAGTCTAAATCCAGCAAATGTAAATGTCCACTTTCTGTAAAATAAAACATTAATCTTAATTAATTAATGATAAAAATTATAGTCAATCATTAATTGCAATGAATCTGAACGCTACTGTAAGCTTCACCAAAACAAAATCTACAGAGAACGTTACACAAATAGTGAAAAAAGTACTGAACGATGGTTATGATTTGGAGGTACTGGGACTTGCTTCGAACTGGTTTCTTTTCATACATATACCTGCTTTATGTTGCATTTTCTTCAGTCTTATAGCAGCAACAACTGTTATAATCGTGTCATTCAGAAGTCAGACACGACCGTTCTTCTCCTGGATGCGAAATGAGCGTTTCGTTGTATACCTGTCGCTGTGCGATGCCCTTTTCAATGTGACACACATCATGGATCATCTACAGATGGTTATTACGAAGGAACACGTCTATCCTTTGGAATTGTGCGAGTTTTATGCTTTCTTTATCGGCGAATTTGTTTCGGCACAGATTCTGATGACCAATGTAGCAGCTGTCAATGCTTTTAGTCTAATTTATCTACAGAAACAGTTCAAACTCGGCAGATACGACTGGAAACTCCTGATTTATACTTTTGGTGTACCTTTTGTGTTATCAATGTCCGCAGTTAATTTGGGATTTTACGGACCTTCCGGATCTTAGTAAGGTTCTTTTGAAATTTCCAGTTTGCTTTATTATTTTTATTTGAAATCTGAATTGAAAACATAAGATACATGTACGTGTTGTATGTTTGATTTCCGTTTAACTTATCCTATTTTTGTGTCCACAGTTGTTACTTTGACGGCGTAAAAGGAGCATTTGCCAGCATATTCTTTACAACCATTCCAATGACGATTGTACTAGTAGTAAACGTAATACTCTATACCTCAACGTGGTGTAAAATCTACACAAAATCTAGACATCTCAAAACTACACTGGGAAGGGAAACCCAAATTCTAGATCCATCTTTTAACGCTGCCAAAATGATGAGTCTCTTTGTGGCGGTATTTTTCGTGCAGTGGTGGGCCCTGGGTATCGTGAGTGTTTGGCAAAATTTTGCGGTAGTTCCGGAGGAATTCCTCACTATAGTCGTCATTTTTACAAATCTAGGTGGCGTGTGTAATGCAGGTGTTTTTATCATCATCAGGAAAAGAAGAAGCAAACATACGTACCAAATTAAAACGAGTTCCAATCAAACTTCTCAATTATAGGGCGGAGATTGATTTTTCTACATTTCCAATCAAAGAAAAAAAAATAAAGCACGCTATTTTCTCGATGAAACGAGCGATTTCTTTTTAAAAATAAAAATTACATGAAATCTCATTTTGTATGATCATCAAATTGTTTAATGTCTATCTACATGACTTGAGCAACTTTAACGGGCTGGGTTTCAGTGTTTAACTAGTTGGTTAAAACGGTTAAACTATTCTCTAAACATATACATGTATATCAAAGGAAAAGAATGGCCATTAGGAAGGAATTCAGCATATTCTATTCAAGTGGGTTTTTTTTTCATCATGTCCGTAGGAATAGGAAGCAATTTCATGGGGGGGGGGGGGTGTGGGGGCAGCAAGCAACGTGTAGAAATTCAATTTCGAAAGACTGAAGAATGCATTAAGCAACTTAAATAATCTCATGCTGAAACACACGAACACATACACGTACATATTTTTGTTACGAATGCTCGTGTAAAAAAAATTATTAATCACCGAGAACCAATTTTAAATTTTTAGCCCCTCGCAACGGATTTGGAGGGGATATAGTAATGCAATCGTGTGTGTGTGTTTGAGTGAGTGAGTTAATGTTGTGCGATACGGAAGCGATGTAATTTGCATCGGGTCGATGTCGAATGCTGTTTGATTTATAGATTTGCTCTTTGCAATAGGATGCTTCGCTTTGCAGTGTATTTTTTAAAAGATATTTTTCTAAATGATGGATTAATTTTCAATGGTTATAAGGAAGTAATTATAATTTTATAAAGATATATTTAAACTGATGTGTCCACTGAGTGGTCAAGTACTACTTGACCTTTTAACCAAATTAAGTGTACTTTGATTGTTTTATGATAATTGGTATCTATAAACAAATATTATTAAACTGAATGATTTATATTAATTTAAAAGGTTAAAATACGTTTTCTCTGTTAGTTTCAATGTTAAAACCTTATTTTTTAAGTGCATGATTTTATTGGTCGCTATGAAAAACGTCTTGTTATGCAAGGTACATTTGTAGCATGTTACTAGCGGATGGTTAGAAGTACACTTGTATTTCCCAATGTTTGGACAACGAACGATTTAGAACAGAAATAACGTGAGAAAATGTCATCAGCCTCTCAAAACAAATTAAATTGTCAGAATAGTTTGAAAGGATCTATTCGGAATATCAAAAGATTTGACCTATATGAGACAACAATTTTCCGGAAAAAGTCACATTTAAAAACAATGTTTTTTTAGTTGTTTTCTACCATATATTTGTCTAAATTTTTCAAAGAACAAGGAACGGTTTCAATAAAAAGTTTGCCCTGTGTTTTTCTCAAAATTCAAAGTGATGTAAAAAATTAAAACTCATGCTTTTTGAATCTTTGAAATTTCATGCAGATAAATCATACAAATCATTTTTCTCACATAGCCTTCTAAATTCTAACTGTGACGTTATAAACTTGTGCATTTTCCCGTATTTTCTTAAAAACTTGCAGAAGACACCAATTTTAATGGAATTTTCTTTCAGATAATATTGTTCACAGGAATCGCCCACAAAGATTTTGAGATATGTGATTTTTCAAAGAATTTTACACAACATATTCGAAAATTCAAGTGAGCGACGGCTGTGGACACTATCTTCTTAGGGAAAATAATCCTTGAAATGGGTAATTTAGAGGGTTTTTCTGTTTAAAATAGAGAAATGCATCAAATTAATGACGTCATATTTCCAGAATGGTACTCCTTCATGCCATATTCTTTCCTGATTTATCACAGTCATATACTCAACTAATATTTAAGCCAGGTTCAAAACTTTTTGAAAACATTAAATTTTTAGGGCACAATAAAGGTAAAACCGTACCTTCTTCTTTGCATTTTGAACCTAAAATTTATTATTTGCAGCTTTAAATTTAACCTTTGGTTCTAGAAATTATATAAATCCCATCCAAAATAAAAAAAAAAAACACCGAGATATTTTCCATTATTAATTGTTACACATCTTTTCTTAAAGAGTATTTAAAATCTGTCTTTTTATTTAAATATTAATTTATTTATTAATGTAGATATATGACTTAGTAATTCTGATAGATAAAACGTGGGGCAAACGTTCTGCATCCGATCCAATTGAGAACTAAATGTGTTAAACTATAATTGCAGAATATATTTAAAACAAATAATCACGGTATGATATCCTTGACAATATTTGTTTATTAGTGTCTTGTCATTTTTTTTTTTTTTTTCATTTTTTTTTTTTTTTTTTTTTTTTTTGGTATCATGTTTAACTGTTATATTTATATTCAAACATTTTTTTTAAATTACCTTGAAACCGAGAAAGCACTTTAAAGGAAGCAGGACATAATTCTATCAGTTTTTAAATTGTAAATACATGTAGATGCGTGGACTCCCCCTCCCGCACACGTTTTTAATCAAAGTGAGAAAGCTGCCCTTCGCTTGAAAAGAAGAAGAAGAGATTTCAAAGGACCGTGCACAATACACAGGAGGCCTGTGTGTCTTTACCAGTCACTAATTTTATTTTTGAAAACTTAAGATCACTAGATGCTAAAGTATTTTAAAAAATAAACCAGCAACAACTTTAACTCGGAGAAAAAAAACTGTATTTGAGGCAGAGGTTGATTGTGACATGACTCTTATCAAGGGACGTGGTCAATGACACATATTTCTGAAAAAAAAAATCTTGTTTTGGAAGTTCTTTTGAATCGGAGAAAAATATTAGATTATTACACGAAGCACAGAAATTGCTATGGACCAGAGAATGTTCAACACCCTGCACCGATCTTGGTTACAAATGCAATTTAATATTTGTCTATGTCTTAAATTGAATATCTTTATATAAAACTGTATTTCTCAATTATCGCATTACCTAATTAAAGGTCGCATTGACAAGACCAAGGTCAGAAATGTCAAAAGTTAGAAATTCTGACAATTTACTTTGAATCTAAACTTTTTATTAAATCAAATTTCAAACAGAGCGCACTTGTTGTAATTGTTCTTAATAATTGCGAAAAAAAAATTGGCCTTGAATAATTTGATTAAAAGATTCAAATAACGAAGTTAAAATTGCACATTGGGGAATTGAAATAGGTCAAATGCAAAGGTCAAGAGGTCAAGGGATTGTTACTCCAATATCTTATGAAATGAAAAGCAAATGGTTCTGACCTACCCTTCATGGTTCAAAGAGGATTACATCGATATATGATCTTTTTTTAAGGTTGGTCAAAGGTCACGTTTAAAATCTCAGTAGCATTTTACTTAACTTGCTGTAGATTTATATGAGGAAAATGTCTAATCCCTACCTTTTGCAGTTCTTGATAAGACAAACGGTATGTCGAAAGTCAAGTTCAACGTCATTAGCGCAGGCACTCTGGTATTTTACAAATGCCATTGTACCAAGCAATTATATTTAAAACCCTACCCCTTGCGGTTCAAAAGAATGATACTGGTGTACGGATACACAACCTGTCATATATACAGAAAACGGTGGACAAAATGACCCCTGTGTCCCTCTTATTTACAAGCCACATATTCCAACTGATTTCCTTCCATATCCTTCCACAAATAAAATAATCCATCTTTTTTTTCTGCATTTCAAAATGAAAAAGAAGCAGAGAGAAATATGGAAGATATGTCAAGCCTAAATAAAATACACAAAATCTTCTGATTAATCTTAGAAATTGTTTTATTAAAATCTCTTGTCTATCATATTTGCTACAACATCATATTTAGGGGTAGACTGCACATATGAAAGATCGCTCTGTACTCCCATCAGATGTTTCCATCAGTTTCGTGCTGGTGTCAGTCCTGAGGTATAAATCAGATGCCGGCTCTCCAGGTACCCAGTTGAAATACGTGACGGGGGTTCCATCATCGTACAAGAATGGCGCCGAGGAACTGACCCTCTTTCCCTGGAAATATATGTTGCTGATGCCATTCTGATCTGAAATGTTATTTGAAAAATCCCTTGGTTAGAAAAGGTAGATACTGAAAAGACATCCCACAAATCTTTACAGTGTAATGTATGCAATGCACAGTTTAGAGAATGCACTTATGTCGCTTGCATATATTATTTTTTTATCGTCTTTCAAAAATTAGTAACTCTTCCTTCGTCGAGCTCCCAACAATAGACTTAGAGGAGATAGTTACGAGGTCTTTGGGACCTCAAAAAAAAAAAGAGGCCCTGTGCCATTTCAAAAATTAGAACTGTTCCTTCTCCAAGCTCTCAACAAAAGATTTAGAAGAAAAAGTTATGGGTCTTTCAAACGTTAAAAATGAGGCGCTATGACCCATAACTGCTATACGATCAAACGTGCAATGCATAGGTCAAATTTTGTGGCAATTCACCTAAAGCAGTTGACGTCTCTAAAAGCTGTTTATTTTTGGCAGATCACATTTCTATACCGTGAAAATTCTATTTTAACCTTGTCCGCATATTTCATTGTTAGTCAAGTCTTTGTTTTTCCAAGTGTTTGCTTGCTTGATTGTAATGTAATGTCCATTACAAGATTATTTCACTCATAAAAGACGTCAACAATGTCGAAAAAGAGCTTCAAATTTAAACTTTTTCAAGGCACTCAGGGCCATACTCTGCCGTGACAAGGGACCCCAATTTTAAAGGTCTCATCCGAAAGACCCCATAGCTATGACTCTAAAGTATCAACACAGTTGCTTCAACAAATTTGGTTTATCTTAGTCAGGGCTTTAAATAATGTCATTGTTACAACGAAGCGAGCGCACTACCGACTGAGCTACCCTGATGGTTACATTTTCAGTCGCGAAATTTTAGAAATGGTTATACCTTAAATTTCATAATTCAAAATAAAAATTCTATATTTCTTACATCTCCCCATGTTAATTCTGACTAGTATCAATATACATAAGAAGCAAGGAATACTTTTTCCTCAAAGATTTACCCGGGTACATGTATGTTGGTTCGACTTATAGTATGGTAATTGTTACTTATTCTTGGGTGAAAGATTCTTTCTTCACTGAAAAATAAAAACCTCATGAGGCTTTGCAAGTCTGGAATAGATAATTATACGAAAATTAAATGACATTTGTTGACTGATGCACAATACATTAAAACCGACCTTTTTTTTGCAAAGGACTTGTTGTATCATAATTATTACGACAATCATTAGTAAACATAAATGTTTCTCTTGATACAACAATTTTCTTTTATTATCAGGTCCGTTGGTATAGTGTCAATGTTGCAATTAAGTATTACTTGTATGTCTTACAGCGTATCCTTTAATCTAAGCTCTTTATAGAAAATATATCCTCCTTGAAATGAGAGGAGACTTTTTTTTTAAGTCATCAGACACAAAGTAACTAATAAAAATACATTATTACATTGTTTGCATAATTTGGAATTTGTAGGGGTAACGAGGTTTTGGGCAATTGTTACATTTTTATAAAAAAAAAAAAAAAATCAGAAGTTAGCCGAGATATGACAAGCTAATTCAGAGAATTTGTGTCCCCCGCTTAAGGAAAAAAGAAGAGCATACATGGATCTAAAGGGGTGGGGTGGGGTTGGGGGTCGAAGGAGTGCACTTAAGAAGGGCAAGCGGGGCCATAGGAAGTTATGGTATAAAATTTCATTGCAAAATCTCAAAAGCTTCTTGAAATATCGCCTGGAAATGAAAGTTTTACACATACACAAAATGTATGAATTTACGAACTTGACCTATGACCGTTTGACCTCAGAATGAATAGGCATATTTCATAGGCCATAGAGAGTTATGGTATATTTTTTTTATTGCAAAAGCTGAAAGGCTTCTCGAGATATCGCCCGAAAACGAGTCTTAAAATAGACAGAATTTTTGAATTTATGACCTTAACCTTTGACCGTTTGACTTCAAAATCAATACGGCTCTTTCTAAGGCCATAGGAAATTGTTGTGTAAAATTTCATTGCAAAAGCTCAAAGGCTTCTTGACATATCGCGTGGAAACGAAAGTGTTAGAGACAGACAGGAATACAGAGGGACGGATATACCGATATTAATATCCTCCACTTTGTGAAAGCGGGGTACAAAAATGCAACATATCTGATCAAGGTCACAATGGTGTCAATGAGACACAAACTAAACTTTTTTTAAAAAGTATACATAAAAAAATTTCGTTATTTGCATGATTTGAAAGTTGTTTCCAGACAATTGTTTAATTTGTATGAAAAATAAAAAAAATAAAAAAAAAACAACTTTTTTTCCATCAGATGTTAGCCTATAGGATATGAAAATGTAACATACCCATCTGCTTCACAACAAAGTCGTAAATGGTAGGGCTGTTGATGCGTATCAGCTGAGATCTTGTTCCATGAGCCTTACACACGGCGTCAGTGCCCTGAACGGTAAGTTTCGGATCCTTGTATATCTTATAGCAGATATCATAGGTAGTGTCAAAAGTGAAGGTCGGATAGTCGTCACAGTAAAAGGACTGCCGCCGGAGTAAGATCGCTGTAATGAGTGCAATTGTTACCAACTGTGGAGCACTCCACTCCGTGACTCCGGCTGTTTGTATAAGATATAAAATCATAAGCTTGTAGTCGTTTGTTTTAAATTACACATAGTTTTTCATGTAAAGTACCTTATTGGATTAGACTAAAGGCACTGTCTTTATCATGCACGTAGAATCGGGGTGGGAAGAGGGGGTTGTTGATCCTGCAGTTTCTCCCAAAGATAATGTTTTACTGTTTATAATGTTCATTGGAAGGCATGATGCCCCCTCACCTTTGGGTTACAGAATAGTCAAAACCTCCCTAGGAAATTTGTTTTTGAAGAAAATTTGGAAGCTACACTGTACCACCACCACCCTCAAACAAAATATATAGGATTTTCATGTTTGGGAATATTTAGACTTTTTATTGTGTTTTCCTTTGATCGTTTTTAGTTTGTTAGTTTGTTTGTTTGTTTTTTGGGGTTTTTTTTTTGTTCTTTGTTTATGATATTTTTGCCCTCCCCCCTCCAACTTTCAAATACGATACTAATTACCTACACATAAACCTCCTCCATAAGGTGAAAGGTACATCAGTAAATCCACATGAAGTAAATTTTAACATAAATTCTTTTTTTGTGATCCTTTTTCAGTTCAAAAACTATTCATTATTTGATTTTTGAGGTAAAGCATTAAGATATAATACATTAAGTTCGAATAACATTAATATTAGAATTTATATCCATTTTAACAAAAAAAAAATCATTTCTATTGGAAAAGATGCTGTTACAAGGTCTAAATTATAAGACAGAAAAGTGCACATTTACCAAATTTCGTTTTCCTACCGTTTTCATGAGTTTATCACATCCATCTTCAGGTTTACGTAAACATAAAAAGCCTAAAGATTGATGTATGTAAACCCCTACTTCTGGATCGTGGAGACATGATGCAGTTATTATACCCCCGCCTCGACGGATAGGGGGTAGAGTTTTTACCCTTTTGTGTTGTGTCTGTCCGTGTGCGTGTGTGTGTATAGCTGTTTATCCGTCTTTCTGTCCCTAACAAATTTTCGTCGCAGTTTTCTCTGCAACAACTCCTGAGAGATGCTTTAAATTTTAGCACACTCTTTGTTTATGCATGTCATATGGTGGGATTTATTTTTGTATGAATCCAATGTAAACCTCCTTGTTTATCTGTGCGTCTGTCTGTACAATGCATAACAAATTTTCGGCACTACATATATAATTTTCTTAATTAACATACGTACATGTGTACTTTTAAAATGCTTTTATTTGAAATTGGTTAAAAAAGAGTCAACATTGTCATCCTTCTATGCTTGCTTTTAAAATAAAATCTGGTTAAAAAAGTAAAACTCGAACAATAGCTATCTTATCGTTTACCGTAATTAGACGTTATCAGAGAAAGTCCAGCAGCAGCTATTAAAGCTCTTGTAGTCCGAGTCTGCGCTTCCGTGACCGGAAGGGCGTGAGAAACCAGGAGAAACAAGAAAAGGAGATTCCAAATTATCAAAGAAGACATCGGTACTGTCAATCTGAAATATATGAATATAGATGAAGGTCGACATATCAGTGCACTTAAAAAATTATCTACAAATCTGGTCTCATTAAACTTTTACAACAATTTTTATATTCCATTGGTTGTAGGTAATATTACGGAAGTTAATACTTGTAAACTCCTCATTATTTTTAAATAAAGCTGAATTTGACCAATGTTTTGCTTTCTGATGTTTAGTATAGAACGGTGAAGTATGATTTTAAAATCTCACATGAATCCGATATGACATTAAAAGTTCTAGGAAAATATCGTTACGGAAGTTAAGCGTTACGGAAGATAATTTCCAGATATAAAAGTTGAAATTCTCGGCAATAGTTAAAATTAGCGTTGCTTTAACATATTTATTAGAAGTATGAAGTATCGTGCTCCCATATTTTTTTAAAAAACTTTCAGTTCGAAAACATTCCTAAATTACTGTTACAGAAGCTAAATTTTTAAGAGACAACTGTTTTTGTCGAAATTATTTTTTTATGTCGAAAATGTAATGGTCTAAAGTAGCTAACACGCAATTATAATCGAAGACATTAAGTTCAATTTTCACTTTCGGGCAAATTTCAGTTCTTTGTGAAATCTGCATTCTGTGCATGCAGTTTAAGGTGGTATGGGATACCAAACGAAACTTCTCCTACATATTTATGTACCCAAATTAGAAGGATTTGAAATACCCCCACCTTTCAGTATATTAAAGTGTAATTTTAATAATTTTTTTATTATTTTAATGAGAAATACAAAAACGATTTTTTTTCTTGCATAATTCTTTTTTCATAAGCTTAATATTATAGGCAGGCGTTTGCTAATATAAAGTGTTTATAAAAACAAAAATGACAAGAGATATGTCTTAGTAATTTTTTAATTTTCAACAAAAATAAGCGTAAAAAACTGGGAAAACTTTATTTCTTGAAAACAGACGGATAACATTTCATGAAAGTCTACAATAAGAATGTATCTTAATATGTTAGCAAAGTGAAATAAACAAATTGAAAATATATATATAAATGGAAAATATAAAATGCATTTAAAATTTTTTGAATTAAAAGATCCGAGCGGAAGAGTTATCCTTCTTTATTTTCCAAGGGTTGAAAAAACCTGGGTGCTATTTTAGAAATGATGAGCATTTTTTCCCAACCATAAAAAAATCGCACTTTGTAGTTTTCAACTTTGAGCGGTTTTGAAAACAATGCATGGACAATCGCTTTCCAGGACGTGTCTTGTTCAGAGCAATTGCATTCATCTGAACGTTTTGGGACTATGTACAACAGCTAGCTGATTTGTGACCAAACAGTTACTTCTTGAATTAAATAACAAAAAAGTCCAGCTCTGGTTAACGTGATAATTGATTGGTGATAATTCAGCACAATGTGAAGTAATCGCACTTATCCATGCCTCACCGCACACAAGGTGCTGTACAGTTACTCAAACAATTGAAATACAGCTTTTGCTTAAAAGTGTTCAAAAGCAGCAATGTTGAAACTACCTTTTACAGGGGTTTGCTTTTTTAAATGTCCGTTGTACAATTATAAGTAAATTTATATACTTGCGATTTTTTTTGTCTGTTTTTACTTAAAATGCCGACTTGTGAGAACTTGCATTGAAATAGACTTCAGAGTGTTCTTTTCAACGGTGTATCTACAAATTTTGACCCGATAATAAGCACTCATGCAAATCAAAACAATACTTCAAACGGAAATACGTCATAACGTGGAGGTATCCCATACTACCTTAAAAAATTGTTACGGAAGTAAATCGATCTTCAGTGACATGATATGAAGATCCATGTATTTTTTCGCCATAAATGTTTTTTTTATATATTAGGGAAAAACTTTTCTTTAGCATCCTTTGTATCTAGTCGGAGCGTTTAAGCGGCTGAAAATTTCTTCTTGAAATTTGTAAATAAATAAAGCGATATTAATAGTTGCAGTGGACTACGTTTGTAAAGATTATATTGTGTTCATATCAAAAATTTCACTGCATATATGTTTCTAAATATTAACAAAACCATATGTGTATGTTAAGTCTTTAACTTGATGTTAAGAATTATAGTTAAGATATCACAGGGGTAAACTTGACATAAAGGGACAAAAAATTCTGCATTGTCTTTGCAGAATGACTGATTAAGTGTAGGTCAAAGAAAGTGCTTAGCAAACAAATTTTCTAATGTAACTTAAACACATTTGCTTTACTTTTAAATCATCATATTTTATTCCCGTTTTAAAATGCGATTTTTTCAAATATCATTCACAAATGTTGGTTAAGAAGGGACAATGAATTACTTTGTTTGATATAAATTAGAATATACATTACTATTTACCCTTAGACAGGACACAATATAAACTCAGTCCTCGTGTAAGAACCTTATCCATCAGTTAAATATACTTCTACTGACAATCACTATATAACTTGTTATTTAAGTATATCTCCAGTGCTACCCAGACTCCATGCCTTCGGCGACATAATATCGTCTGCTCTCAACTTAGAAAAAAAGTAATGTATAAACCAGCATATTGTGAAATCGCAGAATATTTTCCTTTTATGTTGTGTTCTAATGAGCTAAAACTTTTCGGTATGTTTGCCTGAAAAAAATATAATTTGATTTTTTTTCAGCACGTACAATTTTGTTTTTTTTTTTTAATTCTTAAGCAAATTCTAATTTTTCCAAGAATGTTCAGGGTAAATTATGTAATTTCTTCAAATTTAAAAAAAAACAAACAAATAAAAATATTGAATTCGAAACCCCAGTAGGGAACCTTGATAAAAAAAAAATATAAATGCACGGAGTACTTGTTTATAGGTTGAAAATTAGATCCAGACTGCACAACGTAGGTAGTTTTACATATCAGAAAGTTACAACCCTACCTCACAAACATTCTGGAGATTTTGTTAGGGGGTCGACTGGGGTTTCAAATGCGCAATACTTCGTGCAGTGTATTGAAATAAAGCATTTTTAAAGCCTTAATTCTAATACAATTTACAATTTTATTTTACAAATTTAGGGAAGCAGAAATAAAAAAATATATATTTGCATATTTTTGGAAGCACACTCATAAGCATTTGGATTTCAAAGAGATAAGATTAAGATCTTTCAAAAAAAAAAATTAATATTTATCTTAATATTAATAAAATTCTGCATATAAAAGAATAACATAATGTTATTTAAAGACGGTGAATTCACTGACACGTACTTGTTTTTTAATGTATTTTGTGCATGATTTAATTTCTCGAGAAATTTAGATTTTTGAAAGATAATTAAGTTTGATAATTTTTCAAAGCCGCTTATATAACGTAAACTATTATTTATTATTGCATAAAGAGAACAGAGTGTCTGAGGCCAAGAAGTGCACCAGCACCACGTCATCACGTGACTGAAATTAATAGCGAAATATTCCTTAATTAAAAAAACTTAACAGAACAACACTACCCCGGGATTTAATATCTTCTTTGAATAAATAAATATACATTATTATAACAGTAACTTGATCCGAAGAGTCGCATCACGTCGAGTTGACAGGCGCTGATCATCAGATCAAACGAGACGCGAAGCGTCGAGTTTGATCTGATGATGCGCGCCTGTCAACGAGACGTGATACGGCTTTTCGGATCAAGTTACTGTTATAATGATAAATTTATTAAATACCCCCCTTACGACTAGCAAAATATAGGTTTTAAAAACTTTTGCGATCAATTATATAAGATTTTTTCATTAAACAAAGCATTTTGTCAAGGAACTTTTTGATGCGCATGAAAAATAACGTCATGTTTCTGTGTACTACGCCATCAATTTCAGAGAGGGGTGATATGGATTCAGAAAACCACAGTGTGGTGATCCGGAACGTCGGATCACCCCGTCACGTGATTGTACTAAATCTTCAGTAAAACTGAGTGATACACACTTGGGTATATAATAATATAGTTGATAAACATTTACTATGCTTAAAAAGTGCTGCTAGAATCCCACTGTTCAGTCGGAAAAAAAACAATTATTCCACACATTCGCATGAAACCTTGCCCGATTTTTTGAATTTTATATATTAACCCGATATATTTCTTCAAACCATGTTTTCCTCGCGATTCTAGCAGCACTTGCCAAGTCTTATAGAAGGTAAGCTTTCGATCTTACGTTTTGAATTATCCAGCTTAGTGTTGTATTTTTGCATTTTTGTTGTCATGGTGTCACGAATGACAGAGGAAAGGCCGACCAGGATACGTAAATAGCTTCAATTGAAGATAAAATCGATGAAAATAAATTAGTATACCTGTTTAACAAACTTTAACTCCATATGAATCACACACAATATTCACGGTATTTGCTTCTAAACCCCCTTTTACGTATCTTTTTACATGTCGTCTTAGCCAAATTCTCGTTACACAACATGATCAGTTCCCAAGTTACTTATTGAACACTTATGAAGTCATCGGTCGGAGGTTTTAATCCAAGTTACAGATACAGCATAACAAAATAAAAGCATTTTATTTTTGTTAATATTTACATGTTTCTATTCATTTTCTAGAGTTCTCTGGAGTTAAATTACATCTCTAAATACTAATAATTTAATTTTGTTTGTATTCTAGCCTCTGATTGGTTAATATCCAAAAAGGAACACAAATTATTTCTGTATAACCTGGTTTGGTATGGGGACACACCCCCCTGACAACCAGCTGAATCATCTGTATCCATACAATCCTCTCATTTCCAGTCCTCGGGATTCATGGAAACTTCCAGATTTAATAAATGTACCTTTAACTTCAAACAATAATTCGATCTTACCACATGTAAACGAACAACAAGGCTGCTAGGCCTATGCATCAGTTTTTACCTCCCCTCGCTTCCCATCACTTCCAGTTACTATGGTTGTATTATTGAGCGGCAAATCTAAACTAATAAAAAGCAACGAAATTTTACACCCATAGTTATTTAATGATTTTAAAATTAAATTATAAGGAATGACTCTAATTCTTGGCCAAATTATTCGAGTATAACCTGGTTTGGGTCAGTTTACGCTGTTTTATAATCCGCTTCGCGGATTATAAAGCGTAAACTGACCCAAACCAGGTTATACTCGAATAATTTGGCCAAGAATTAGAGTCATTCCTAAAATATTATGAAAACTTGTGTTCTAAAATTGACGTCATCCATTCTACTATGACGTCATATAGTAGCACTGATTTAGTCAAGTCAGAATATCCTAGTGTTTCCTTAACAAACCACGATTTTTCATGTTTTTTTTTAAATTTTATTTTTTGATCAATTAATTAAGCTTCTTTAAGCTCATAGTTGTCTCTGCACACCTTCAGGGAAGACTTCATTGATGTGTTTTACATCATGTCAGTGAGTGAAGTGTAATAAATAAATATTTCTGAAGCTCTGGAAAAGACAAATTTATCGTCAAAACAATATAAACAGTAATAAATGCAGGTTTTAGAAAGGTTTCAGCTGCAATCTACAGGTGTCTATTTCTGGAAAGAATGGGTAATGAAACACCGATATAAAATTTAGTCTGCTTCTTCACTTATCCCTTTAGTGCAAAATAATTCAACCAAAATCATTCTCACATTTCACTCAATCTTCAACTCGCCACTACCCTCTCCTCTCCCTCCCACGCACACAGTAAGTGGTAACAATGTTTTTTTTTTTCATAATGGGTGATTGGAGAAGATTGGGTAATAGGTTTTTTTTTCTCTCTAAAGTATAGCAGAGTAGGTAGGAAGTGAAATTTCTCTATTTTCTTTAACCCTTCTAAATGGCTGGTGCCCTTTTAATCTGAGTGTTGCTGATTATATTGATTAGTCCTTTTAATGATCAAACAAAAAATTAATCCTAGAAAAGATTCATTTTAGGTTTTTTTTTCTAGAAATAGTTGAAATAAACTCAACGACTGAGTTTCCAAATGTTTTCATCTTATTTGACTGTGTTCTAAAGCTATAAATTAATCCTTGTCTACCAAACATCAAACTGCTGAATCGCTGTAATTATCAACTCACACTCCCACTTAAACATCCCTCAGCACACCATCCAATTTAACTGATTTCTTTTTTTACTTTACTGTACATTTTGTATCTTTTGAAATAGACACTTGTAGGAGCTTAGTATTTTACCCCAACATCCTCTATTCCAGATTTAAATGCCATATGATTAAGTCAGTCTCAGGAATTTTGGTCTTTGCAACAGCTCATGGAACAACATATTCATGTTTAAATTTTAAAGGATTATTTTTTCCCTAAACCTTATGCAAGAATGGGGAAAAAAACAATCTATGATATGACAAGTAGCTTTCTCTTTCGTGACCATATAGATTAGTTTACTAGAAAAATCACTTTTCATTCCAATAGCAAGAAAATTTTTTAAATTTTATCATCTGAAATCACATCATGTACATTTGGGTAAGAAAACACTTGTATAATTGTGCGATTTAAGAGTACCTGCAGAATCTTTCTGATTCCTATATCACGTACCACCTTTCTTATCAATAACCTTCAGCCAATTCTTATCTTTCTTGACTTTGATCTGGAGTCAAATGCTCCAAAACTTCTCTTGACAACAAAATTTTCTTGTTTGAACTCTCTAAGAACTTTACAGGTTACCTTTATACGCACTACTCTGTTAGGATAATGTATGGTCGTATCAAAAGAATCGAGGGGGGATTGAACAGAAATATTTTTCTCTTTTTTTACCAGCTGTTGAACACTCCCCTCCGTGACTCCCGCTATTTGCATGAGGGATAATATCATAAGCTTGCAGTCCTTTGTTTTAATTTCAACATTTAATTTTTTTTATGGAAACTATCTTATTGAACTACACAACATGCATTGTCTATATAATGACATAGGAGGGGGGGGGGGCTGCACTTTTTCGCAAACTTAACGTTTTACTGTTGAAAATGAACATTGAAAGGCCTGTTGCCCCCTACCCTTCTCTTTTGGGTTACAGAATAGTCAAATCTATCTTAGGCCGTGTATTAATAAAATTTGTTGGTGAAAAGTTTGGAAGCTTTAACCACTCCCTCCTCCACAAAATATGACTTTCGAGTTTGGGCATATTTTTTTCTGGTTTCGTTTTTTTTTTCGGTTGTTTGCTTCATCCCCCCCCCCCCGATTTTCAAATATGAGTCTACTTGACTGTATATATACCTTTTCCATAAGGTACCAGGTGCATCATTAAATCCATATAAAGTGAATTCTAACGTAATTTCGCTTTTGTGATCCTTTCTCAGTACAGTAATTATACATTTTGCTTTTTGATAGGTCAAAGAATTAAAAAAAAAAATAACACATTCACTTTCGAATAACTGTAATTTTATAATGTATTACAAAAAAGTTTCATTTCTTTGGGAAAAGATGTTGTTAAACAATCTAAATA